GACTTTCCAAAGCTTTATTTAGAAACAGGAACATTTTATTTGATTTCCATCACAAAACAAAGGAACAAATCCATTTCCCTCCCACCCTTCTCTTCAGAGCCTGGTAAACTTTGCTGTGATTTCCAAGGTCTCTTAGTGCTTAGCTGAGTGAGGCTCAATAGGTGACTCAGAATAAAACTGGTTTCCTTTGCCTTTCCCAAAGCTCCTAAAAATGAGTTTGCCATGTTTATTACACCACTCCCCATCTCTTTTCCAGGTTCTTCCATCCTGATACTGATACCAGCAGGACAGCTTTCAAAGCAACTAGAGAAACAGCTTTTCATAAAACAATGTCATGCCTTGTTTAAAAAACACAGCTACTGATACAGCGAATGACGTTTTTAATTGCATTTTTAAAAAAACAACAGTACGGTGAAAGCAATGAAAAGCTATTCTTCGGCAGTATTGTTTTCAAAACTGGTGTAATCAGGTATTGCATGCCTTCTGCACATCTGCAGGTGTTTTCCAAGTCGCACAGTCCCGACTTAGTAACCACTCACGACCATTCTGACGAAGCTGAGACCAGGGAGAGCACAGCACACACTTGCCTGAAAAAGATCGAGCTCTTGGCAGCACCTGGAGGAAGCTTCAGCAAGCAGTCAACACCATCCGCTTTCTGGTGCAAGGTTTTCTTTTTCTCATCACTAGGAAATGTTTTCAGTTACAACTAGATCCAGAAGACAATGTGCATTGCTCTCTGTAGTAGTTCTGGTGTGCTAGATTTTGCCAATTTCAAAAGGGGGTCACTCTGAAATCTTCAAGTTTGTCAGTCTGGAACCATGAAGATACTGATCCCCACCAAAAGCTTACTGAGTGACTTAACTAAGACATCAAAACTCCAGTCAGTATTTTATACTTCTAGGCAGGGATAGCCACTCCACTCTCCATTAGGATTCCCAACGCTCACTGGCTCTTGCAGGACAGCATCATTGTGTTATTAAACATGCTACAGAGTAGGACGACCTGGGAAAGCTCTCCATCTGGTGATGCCCTCTTGATTTCAAAGTGGTATGAAACCCACCGGTTCATTCCCTAAGTTTACTGAGGAAGAGGGTAGTATGGTTGCTCTTGCTAACCCATCATCTGTGTGGGTGGCTAATACCAACTGTAGTGTGTAACTGGGCCCTGAGGTCAATGGACAATTTAACCATTAGAATAATTGGCTTTGCTGTGCCTGGTAAGCCAACTGCTTTCGATGAAGGCCAAACTAACTACAAAATCAAAATATTCAAGGTCTGCTGCTAAATATATCTGCCCTGGGTATGCTCACTAATTCCATGGATTCTTACACAAACACGGTCTGACTCAGGCTTCAATATTCAAAGGCCCCACAAGGCCAGAAAAACCCAATGTAGCATCCAATCAAAATATTAAGCTTGTTTTCAATCATAATAATAAAACAATCTCAGGGCAAATGAGAAACGTCAAGAACCTAGGTCAACTAGGCATAGAGCCCCCCAGGGAGATGTTACAAAGAGCACAATCTCATGGGCTAAACAAGAGGAAAATGACTTCAGTCCTATAGTTCCCCTCATTCTAAACATCTATGACACGTATGAATGAGGAGGGCAAATGGAAAGTTAATCTAATCACCCTAAATTATAAAAGTATATGTGGAACATGTGGTGACATTTAGTCTTGAAGAATCAATTTCCTACTCCCCAAACCACTGACCAGTGAGGGAACAGTGCAAAATCCTGAACATTACCAGGAACGTCTACTTTCCCACTCCAAAATAATTCAACTAAATGCAACCATGATTCAAAGGAAAAAGAAATACAAAAAGCCAAATATTCAATGTATCATCAAGATACACAGGAAGTCCCCAGATTGTTTCCCCTGATAAAACCTAAAAAAGGTTAGAAAAGGACTCTGAGGATTCCTCAGATGCACTCACACCCATCAGGGCTGCCAAGGGATCCAGTCACAAAAAATAACTCGGCACAGTTTTAGGCTTGGCCCTTTGACAGTTAACGCTCAAAAATCCATCATCTCCTTTCTACAGATGAGGAGACTGGCGATGAGGTTGAAGTGACTTGCCTAGGGTCAACGAGCTAGCAATTGAGCAGAGATGAACAATAACTCCAAGCTGAATACTACCCAATATAGTTCTCCTAAATGGGCAGCCTACAGATATCCTCTTCTGAAGCTATCTTTATTTTGCTCAGAAACGATTATTGAGCAAGTGTTCATGGAGAAGGATTGGTGTCCCATCGATGGGTCCCCTTACGGGCTTCAGACAAACATATGTTTTCCAATTTCCTAAGCTACTGAAGGGAATGACCAAGTAGTTGTAGGAATCAAGAAAAGGGGTTCAATTCTAAGCAAATGTCCAATGCCATGCAGAGCACTGACTAAACCACTGTGTAAGGCATTTCCCATTGAGCTTCGTATTTGTACTGTGAAATGTTGATGACTGACAAGTTCTTTGCCAGTTCTAGATTTATACTGCCTTCACTGATGGCCTAAGAAACACATCTGTCTAAGTCACTATCTGAGCAGACTCACTGAATTTCCTAAATTGCCTTGTATGTAACACCAGCATCATCTCTGCATAAAGGCTGGCCTGTTCTTGGCTACGTGGCAAGGTCTTTCCAACACCAAACTCAAAAGCCTGCTTTGGAAACCAAAGGAAAAGGCAGGAAAATGTACTTGTCCCTAAAACCAGATGCCATAGAAAAATGAAGTATGAACAGCGATCAGATCTAGTGGTAAGGCAGAATTTTAGTACCAGCAAAAACCAGCTATCAGGGAGCCTGGAATAAGATCTCCCTGCTCCTCTAACATCCTGGGGAGCGGAGTGACGGATTCCATTTCTCCTCACATATACCCCTACCCGAGCAATGCCTTAATTACAAAATACTTCCCACTTTTCAACTCTGGCTCTTTCTGCCTTATCACCGTGTGCCCTAACGGAAACTACGAAGGTCACAACACCTAGCCAAGTGTGGACCATCTGTATCGAGCTGACATTTAACTAATGCTAATGTGATTTCTGACCCTCCTTTACGAGTTAACTGATGCCATCCCCTGTCCCCTACAACCAACACCTCCCCCTTTCCCATGGCTTGAGTCTAGACTATTAGATTGCAACTAATCACACTCGGGAGCCTCATCTTTTAATTTAGTTTTTAAAGGTCACAATATCCATCATCTTTGGTTTTTTTTCCCTAACTTGTACATAATACTGATTTTCTCATCATTTTCCTTATCTCCTCCAAACCCACTTGACTTCAAATGTAGTAATTGTTCAGCAAGATTTATAGTACTATAAAGATGCTAACATTCAAGGGATATTTTCCCAGTTTGAATATAATCTCCTTCACACCATTTTTCTGGCCAACAATGTTTTGTCACCTTTTAAAATTTTTCTGTTTCCAGATTTGTCTTTTAAAAAAAGTTCTTGGGAAGGTCAGAGCAAGCCAATAAGCAGACAATCTCACCAATATCAGCTGTAATTCCAGAGTTTCACAACCTATTAGGCTACGAAAATTCATCTAGACACACACACTGTTTACAGTGAGGGGACTTCATGATTATTTCACAGATGCCGTGGACTATCAATCTATGTACCCTCACTAGGTGCAGGCGCCCCAAAAGGGGTCATGACCTTTCTGGTGTCTTTGCTACACTGCTACCGAACACACCTTGCAAATGATCTTAATGTTAGTTATAAACTACCATCTTTTTTGCATGAGACTTTAAATGACTTACATCATAGAAATTCACTGGGTTTTGGCTTCACTTGGTACAAAAGCATACTGAGTGCCGACATATACTGCTCCATATTTGCATCTTCTTCTTAAAATTATTCAGACTCTTTTAGATTTCAATATTACCTCTCCTGACTACAAAAATCATCACTGTACCAAGCAGAGTACTTAGTAACATTTATTTTTCCTAATACTCTTATAACCAGTGAAAACTGGAAAGTAATCACTGAGTCAGCAAAAACGGGTGACTAAGTCTCAACTTATTCTTATGAGCTACAGTCAACTCAAGGTTAAGCACAATCTTTGAGTTCAAAATTGGTTCTCAAGTTACCAGCGTGCCCATTTAAAAACACATACATTTGCTCTGCTTGAGTCAAGTTCCATATGATGCCAATGTGCACTTAAAGATGCAAGACAGGTCCGATATTTGGATTTTCAAAGCACTAGCTCGTAAGGCTTCTGGCGGTCTGAGAATTTCACACTCACTCTCAATGAGACTTACTCCCATCATTGTCGCAAAAGAACACTAAGGGTTCTTTCTCCCTTCAAAGCACAGGCTTCAAAATAACCCTCAAAATCTTTTTCACCTGTGCTCTCAGAGAGATCAAGTCCTTCTGTTTTGACATAAGATGCTGGTGTACTCGTGTCTTAGGAAGGTTTCTCAGGGGAGCCCAGCACAAAGCTACAAAAGCTCTCCACGGGTTTTCTATCTGAAGTGGGCAGAACATTCCAAATGACACCCTTCGGCACATTCAAAGTTGCCTCCGTTAGCAGTCTATCTGTAGTTTATAGGGGTAGATACCCACATCATACAACTTGACCTTCCTTTAAAATGAAATAAAGCATTCCTTCGAATAAACAGCTTATACCATTTATCACAACTTTTTCCTTAAAAAAAATCAAGATTAACTTTCATGCTCAAATATACCAAACGGTGCCATGTGTTTCAATTCGTAAAACTCACCCTTACAATAGTGAACCAATGCCCTTGACAATTCCGCTCAATGAAGCACTAAATCCTAAAGCTGAGATGCATCAGCTTATCACCAGCAATGCTCCCCTCCCCCAAACATCAAGCGAAGCTCTTCTGAAGCAGCTCATTTAGCTATCAAAATGGCCTGATGTTTCTCCCTTAGTAAACACAGGCAATGATGACCCCACAAAACCAAGCCTTGAAAAAACATATAGGTGAAAAAACAGGAAACACATGACTCTAAATGGGCTCCTATTTCAAATGGTTTTCATGACTTTTTAAAGAGAGCATGAAAATAAACCTTTATTTTCAGTTTTTACCCACCAAAGAGATATGTTCACAGTTTTAGTGAGACACAAAATGAACCAAGAGGCAAATTTACATCTATCAGAGAAACAGATCGACCAACTTTAAAGTACACACTGGCTTGAAAATCGTTATGTATGTGACATATTAACGCAAATATTGCTCTGTGGTCTGGTTTGTCAACAGGGAGGCTGCTTCTGGGACAGAACCATAGATTCAAGCCTTTATTTGCTTGCATATTAGAAGTCTGAAGGGCTAAGGTGACAATGAAAACAGTAACCAATAAAGGTGGAGACAAGAAAGTGCTATCTGAATGACTAGCAGTTTGAGACATCTGTGCTTTGGAAACAGAGCCACCAAGTCGCTGGGCCAGTAGACCATGTTCCTAAGCAGCCACCACCACACCCATCAGCTGAGGCTGTGTCTGTGCGTCCCCAGAGGATTTCTATTTACGCCTCTCCATATCAGGTACTTGAAGGAGACTGTTCTGTTAGCACCAATGCAGAAAGAACATGCTTAAGTGTCGAGATCCACTAACACCAGCACAGAAAGATCACTCGAAAGAGAAAACCTAGCTCCTTCCTGGACTGTATACACTCCTTTCTAGAGATTAAGTGAAGTGAATGCATTTAAGAATCAATCCACGTGTGTTAATACTCTTGTACAAGCAATTTTTCTGTAGAAAAGGCCTAGTTAAGCAAGCCAAAGAGTTTGTAGTTTTCATATTCAAAGTTCTCTAATAGTTGGCTCGGCCTCTCCTTCTCATTTTTTAAAAATAGGGCATTATTTGTTTTTCTATCTTGGTAAAAAAAAAATTTACAAACAACTTGTTTAAAGTATTTAGCATTAAATGAAAATTATTTCCTATTAGCCTAACAAATGTGGCAAACCCTCCCCCGCCCCCAAACATTAGTTGCTAACTCCAAGCTCAGTCTTTAGAAAGTGGTGATGCTCCTGTTCACAGGGATAAATTATTAACCTAATTTTCCAGAAGGGGAGAAGTTCTCAAGGAGGGGAGGGGAGAGAACAAACACATTCATCTGTCAGCAACTGGATACCAGAAGTCATACAGCAAATGCAGAAAACAGTAAGAGGTTTTTGGCATGTATTTCAGGCGGCATGCTGTAGTTCCCACCATTTCAAAACAGTCTGCTTTTCTCTTTCAGGAAATTAAACTCTTCCCTCCTTTTTCCCTAGCAAGCGCCTTTTGGTTTCTTCAGAACAAGGCTTCCAGATAATGGAAAGATACACATTTTCTCATCAGCCTTGGACACAACTCAATCATACCGACTGGCCACGTATTCAGCAGTAGTTCAAATATGCTGCATTAACCAAAGCAAGCCCTTTTCCCACCCCACCCCACCCCACCCCCACCTATCTTACATGACAGGATAATTTGTCTCACCAACAGTAAGTAGTTTAAACAACTTACCAAACAAGGACTCTAACTGGTTTCTTTTTCTTAAATTGAAAGAGAAAAGTTTCACATCAAAGTGTAGATACTTGGAAGGGTGAATAAGGCCTAACTTTTGCCTAATGAACCATGCATTCCTGCTGGATCAAGAGTTATGTGACAACCAATGTGCTTGGAATCTCTTCAAGTACTGATACTGTCTGTATATAAACACCTAGCATACATGAAAGCTACCACAACAGTCCTTCCAAGACTGAAATTATTAAGACTAAGTTAAAATACTCCAGAAGTTAGTATTCCACACAGCATCCCGTTTGCCAAATTAAGCATACACGTCCCATTTGACCACATGTGACAAACTGCAAAGCAGGTACTAAAGAAAACAAACGACGTCCATAGTTAAAACCAGTTTGTCGTTGAGGGAAAACATCTAAAATCCTTAATTAAAAAACACAAATGAAAGGAAAGCTTTAACTGGTACACACTGTTCACACCTATATTTCAAGTTTGGAAACGCATATTTGCAAGCAGCAATACAAAAAAGTATCCATGAAGAACGCATAACCTCTGAAAATGATGGAAACATCCCTGCTACCATTACATTTCTAAATACAAAACTGACTACCATATCGCTGCTTCTGTGTAGCGAGAGAAGTCCATTTTCAAAACAGGTAAAATCCAGTCTTTAGGTGTGAATGGCATGAAGGACAGTCTTTTTTTAAAATTTCTGAGTTGTGTAGGATTGTTAAGCATGCAAGCCTCGTGGAGGAGGGTCCACAAAGGAGCTGGGGCTGGCTGAGGACGTCCAGTTTAGGCCAGAGCCGGGAAAGCCTCTGGGTCATCTACATCAGGGGCGGAAGCACTGGACTGGAAGAGAAACAGAGAGGGGTGAATAGGACCTTCTCCTGGGTGATCCCCCAAGCACATCCAGCCAGACCCGCTACGTCTGCACCCCACCCCCCTCTACTCATAGATGCACCACGGCTGGTTTTAGACAACCCATACAGAGTGTAAAATTCTGGGGCACAAAAAATGAGCACATGTCAATGGTTTGTTTCCAATTTCTATAAGCCACATAAAAGCTGCTATTCAGAGTACAGTGTTAACGTTACTAATGAAGGTTCTGGCTTATAAAAATGGGAACTTATTTCTCAGACTACAAAAACTTAAAAAACAAAAACAAAACTTAAATTTGGGGTAATGCTCCTTACAAGGTATCAGCATGGTGATGTCTTTCTTTCCCCCATTCCCAAGAGCACTTTGCTAACAGCAAAGTCCTTAGCATTCATATTCTCTTTTAGTAACAGCTACTGCTAAACCCCAACATGACCAGTGGAGACCAGTTTGTCCTTAACAGCAAAAAAGCCAAGTATATTTCTAGGAAAAGGGCAACTCTTAAATCTCTCCAATCGACGCGGGATGGGGTGTGTGCATGTGCACGCACGTATACATACACGCCACAGAGCCTAGCATGACCTGGGCCAGGTTGTGGCACCAATATTCCTTAAGTGAATAATCGGCTGTTGGGAATCCATTCTCTGTCTCGATCACTAGGCAGGTTTATAACTGCTTTGGGGCCATGACAGAAATCGTGAAGCCCTACTTCCCTGACAGCCAAGTTCCAAGCTGTTCTCCACAGCAGCCCCAGCGCAGAGCAAACAAGAAGACCACACAATGATGGATGGAAGTCTTCATAATCTGGCTGACCTCCCTCCAAAAGATGGATGGGTCTTCAGGAAGAGAGGCCTGCCCGTAAGCGAATGACTTGGGTGGCTCCTGTGAGTCAAGCTACTGATGAGCGTACCTTGTCAGTTCTGCTCCCGCGGTTGGGCCGTCCGCCACGTCCACGCCCGCCTCGCCCGCCTCTGCCGCCACGTCCCGGGCGACCAAGGTCTCCAAAATTGATCTCCAGCTGGGATGTGATATCATTGGCGGGCTTACGGAAGTGATGATCCATCACAGATTCTTCGGTGTGAGCCTGAAACAGAAGGGAAAGCCACTGAGCAATTAATGAGTCATGATGGGCGCTAGTTCTCCTGAAAGATAAAAACATTAAATTTACACATGGTGAGAACACAACTTCTTTAAATCTAACAGATGCCCTCTCCCAACTGACCCTAGAACTGACATTGCCTAGAAAATGCTCCCCAAGCAAATCTTCCCCCACCCCCCCGCCACCAAGTGCAGCACACAACAGGATGACCCTCAGGACGGTCTCCACACTGGTACCTTGGTACCATGCACCCAGTTTTTCCAAATAGATTAAAAGTTTAAAAACAAAAGGCTTCTTTATAGGTTTATGATTCAAAAGGAGTTTCAACCTAATTGGATTTTTTGCAAATTTATCTTGTTACTCAAATAATAACATCAACAGAGAGAAAAGATCTCAGCACTGAATTTAATTAAGAAAGCTATCACCTGCTTTAAGTTCACCACCCCATGCCATCTCATAAGTGACCTGCTGTGTTTTGACATCTAAAAGTTGTCACTAAAGGAAGAGGCATCAAAGTCTTATTGATAATATTCCCAGAATCTTGAACTTTCTTGTATTTGCTTAGTACATCCAGTCACATTTAGGTCTCATCTGTATTTTATCAAGACAGAATTTACTAAAATATGTAACATACACATAGACAAGTTCACATAAACTTGAACGGAGTCATGCATGCAAATGACAATGGTACGTTTGTGTAAAAGGTACATCCCTGGAAAGTCATACATAATAAACTGAAGCATAATTTAAGAATAGGAATTACTTAAACGTTTCTGTGGGTCCTTTGGCGAAGCCAAGAATGGCTCCCAAATCTCAACAGACAAATCCAAGATCTCCATTATGTTTGTCTGAAGTCATAAAAATATCTATGATCCTAATCTGTAATGCACATAAGAATCTGTAATTCTGGACAATGTCCACAGCACATTAGGATTAGGGTAACAAACGGAGACCTTTATGCTTTCTCTTGTGAAATATACAGCAAAAGCCCAAAAGGCTAAGAAATGTTTTCTCGTTGAACCAAATAGGAATGAAAAATGAAGGTGGCTCTTAAATTTTGGAAAATCTACTTTCAAAACAAATGTCATCCTTTGTAACTAAGTTTACAGAGCAAATGGAATCTCCAAATAATAAACTGTTCAGAAACAAACACTGTATGATATCCACTGAGGTTTAACAATGCTCTTGAAATACTAATTCCCAGTGATACCCAATTACTTTATAACCATCAGTCACGGACACTTCCGGAGAAGAGAAAGTAAGTGGATTCTAAGAAGAACGCTTAAACACAATTTTCCCAACTCAGCATTACCCTGAGATGCTGAGGATGAGGAGGAAGGCTCATTGGTATGTCTCTAGCTCAAGGGATTTTCCCCACCTCCCCTTAGCCTCCAAGGTAGATGCTACTGCCAGAAGACAGAACCCTGGGCAGATGGAGCAAACGGACAAGCATCATCCAGGTAGTTTTACTACGTTATCTTCTGTTCTAGAGCAGCGTACGAGGATCCAGGCCATCAGGAGTTCTCATCTTAGTAACGTCACTAAGGTGAATGTGACATGTGGCAATTCAAGTCATTTAACCACGCTGTGCCTCAGTTTCCTCATCTGTAAAACGGAGCTAGTCATGAGGATCAAATAAGATAATGAATATGAAAGGGCTCTGAAAATGCTAAGAAAAGCAATTAGAAGTTATTCTATTGCTTCTATGAAGCAACTCCAACTGCCCAAGCCAGCCAAGTGCTATGGACACTGCAAGGATACAAGAAACCTTTTAAATTACTACACACCTGGTGAGATCCTTACACCCAAGGAAGGGAAAATGGAACATGAACCTTACGCTACAGCTTCTCTGCACAACAAACCATCTTAAAACTAGAAAAGAAAACAAATGAAAAGATCAGCACCTCATTCGACTCCACAGGGCTCCCCTGCACCTCTGCCATTCCCTTCGTCTGAGGTAAGTCATTGGTCCACACCCCAAGAAAAGGGGGAGAAAGGAATAAATGAGATTACATATGGAATTAAAAAAAAAAAAAAGGAACATGAAATTTCTAAAGTGAAAAGTCCAAGACAAAAATACAAAGGCATAGCTACCATAGGGGCTCAGGAGGAACAGGGCTCCAGGTTTCTCTTTGCCAACTTCAGGTTGCTGAGCCACATTCAGGGTCATGCTATACAACTTTCTTATTCCCGAGTTTTACAAAATGCAACCTTGAGGCCACAACGTCAAACCAGAATCTGGACCCCACCTCATTCTGTCACAATGCTTCTAACCCTAGGCAGCTAGACAGTCATCTGTGTTTGGGGCCAGGATCAAAGTGAGTCAGAATCAATCTGCCACACGCAACTTTCCCTGAGCTTTGCCAGGACAAAAGGTCCCTGACTAATACTTAATGAAAGTCCAAGGTAAAACCATGTGGAGGAATCCTACAATGAAATCCTTCATCAATGTTCCTAACGACTCCTACTTTTTCTTGGGGGCGAAGCTGTGTTCTCTTGTGTTAAGGCTTACATGTAGCACCAGAAGGTGGGATGCAGTGGCTGCTACGGAAGCAGCTTCACTATTCTGACTGCTACCTCACTGTGCCTTCCACTAGCATGGAATGGCCATGGCTCTCCTCAGATACATGACTTATACGGTGAGCATCTCGGGAAGAAACTCTAAACAGGTGCTTATGGAATAAAGCCCAAATGAAAAATTCTGACTTTACAGCATCTCACACTTAACCTTTTAAGGAGGTTTTTCTGTGAGCAGGTGGTGAAAGGCATTTGTTTCCTAAAATGTTCCAAATATTAAGTTTCAGTACACCTTACTCTAATCGATGTGTCCCTGAAAAGGTTAAAGGTTAAGTCACAAATGGTAAATTATAGATGCAGAAAAGAAGCAATTTGTAACTACTTATCTTTATGAGCGGTATATCCACAGTTAACGTAGTAACAAGAAAAAAACCAGGGAATTTTTGATAACAAGCAGCTCACTTAATTGCTCCCTGACTTAAATGATCTCTTCTGTGAAATTAATGAAGACTTTTCTGACAAGCAATGGGCCTCACTCAGGGAATACGCAGTGACTTCCCAGTGTGGCCTATAAATGAGCCTTGACCTAAACCTTTGGGGATTCTGCTGCTCACTATTAAAGCACCTTTCCTTCCCCCATCTAGGCCTGTTGAGGAGTTTATATGCAAGCTGAATAGGAATCCAGGGGGTGGAAAATAAAGAGTTGGATACAGAGAATAACTCCCAGAATTATGAAAGATGCATCAATGGAAGAGAAAAAGAAGGAGCAGTCCTTAAGTCTCAGTGAAGATGTTACCAGGTACTTCAAATGTTATTCATCATCTTTTACACCCCACCCTTCCCACTTCCCCCCAAAGCAGAAAGCAGCAGTCAGGGAAGAGAGAAGGCCAATCCCTGCACATATCTTTCGGCAAGAAGTCTCGTTCATCCAGTCAGCCAAGATACATACGATACAGTTAATGACTCCACAAAGAGCTCTAAGCTGGCGAGCCCTCTGCCCGCTCTTGCTTCTTTGAATCGTTTTGCTCATCTTTAAAAACTCATCTTTTTAGCATCCCTCAATGCTTAGTGGCAACTCGATAAAGACAGAGGTGACGCCCCAATGCTTTCCCTCCCCTCACAGCACAGCAGGCTGCTTTTCCCAATGACAACAAAGCCCATCTGAAGAGGAAAGCAGAAAGCAGAAATCTGTGGGGGCTTCTGTCCAGTTTCCCACCCTTCTATGGCCTGGCCTCCCTCTGCCCACCAGCAGGATGCCCGGTACCTTTTGGTAACCAGCAAGCATACAACTAGCAGGCGGAACGCATACTAGGACCATGCTTGGTTTCCCCCACCTGTTCCTCAACCTATCGCTTTAGGAGGAAAATACAACAACCCATCTGATGGGTTTCTAACCCCATAGATGTGAGAATTTTAATAAGGCTGAGCCAGTCTCCCCACCCCTAAGATACCGCTGACCAGGAATGAGTGAGGCCAACAACCCCAAAACATCAGCACAAATGTCAACAAAGGTAAGACATATCCTCAACAGTAAGAGGGCCAGCATGAAGTAAATGGTTAATCATTGTTAACTGCTAACAGCCAGGCGCTCTGTTATGCCCACAGTCTCATTTCCAGGCAGACACTACAAGTACAGCAGAGAGGCTACCCCTGCCTAGACCATGCTCACATGGATGCCAGAAGGACCAAACACGGCATCCAGGTCTACTGAAGAATAAATGTGATGGCATCTACGAGGATGCTGAGGTGAGCCACGCCCAAAGACCCCATCACCTTCTGTGACCCTCGAGTCAGGCAGACCTTATCAGGATGCTGCTTACGAGTCTCTGGTGAAAGCTATGAGGAAGGCTCACGTCCAAAGCCAGGACAAGTGTGACCTTCTCCAGGGTTTCCACAAGTGCCCACATTTCTAGCCTCCTCTTTATGACATGGCTTTACTCCCAATTCAACACACTACAGGCACAACTTGACAAAAGTTTGCAAAAAGTGTAACCTAACCGAGACTCAGACAGAACACTGAAGGCTAGCCAAGCCAGCGCCAAGCGCTCACACTCTCTCGGTTCAACAATAACATTCTAGGCAAAGGATTATGCAAGCAGTTGCGGCAAACATCTCCCAAGCCCAGCAGTGGTCTCCAGGTGCTCCGCTGGGAGCCGTGCACGCCCCAGGCCACCGCAGCACAACTCACCTCCTCGCTCTTGGACTTGTGGAGCACAAAGCCCTTCTTCCACTGCCCATCAGCACCCTCGTTGGGTTTGCGGATATTAAATTCTACTTTGGCCCGGTCCTTGTTCTGAATCGCCTTCCACTCATCCAACGTCATCTCTTTGGGGCCCTCCTCCTTTACCTCTTCCACTTCATTTTCTCTGTGAAGAGAAAAGTTTCATAAGACAGCGAAGTGAGAAGAGGACATTATTTTGCCCCACTGGTATACACCTTTAAAAAAACTACAACACACACAACACCACAAAGGGTGAAGTCAGAAGAGTAAACACGGGAAGGCCCAATGTCTCAGGGCAGTTTAAGCTGTTAAAGCTCAGAACTGCACTAACACTTCTGGGACACTGCACGGCAATTTCTTCTGTAAAATAATGTGATAAATGAGTCGTTTTTTATCTCATAGAGATTTACTGATATTAAATGACGAGTTCACAATCTGTTAAGATTAGAAGAAGGAAGCTTAGCGATCCTCCCTTCATTGTAGACATGAGACTATGGCAAGGCAAGAATCACTTATTAAGCACTTACTACAGGCCAGGCACTGTGCTAAGCCCTGAGGGGTGGGGAGGGAGGGGTGAAAGAAATGGCACAAGGAAAAGCCCCTTGCAGAAGGTGGAAGCTGAGTCCTGATGGACCCCAGGGAAGAAGGGAGAGTGTTCCAGGCACTGGGAGGACGCCAGGCTGGGAGAGCTGGGGTAAGGACAGCCAAGTAGGCAAGGGCCGAGGTGTAAAGAGCTCCATGGGCCAGACTGAGAATTTTCTATTTGACCCAGGAGGGACTGAGGCCAGTACTAAACTTTAAGCCCATCACCTCAGCTGCTGAATTGAGGGCTGGAGGGGAGTGCAGAGAAGAGACTTGAGACAGGAAAAGTTATCACAGGTTGTCACTGTATGATGCACAGGAGACTTGAGAGATGAAGGTAGAAACTACAAGACTTGGCAAAATGTGAGAGTATGTCGCTTAGTAAGAGGGCAGAGTCAAGGATGGCACTGAGGGTTGAGAGCCTGGGTACCTGGGAGTGTGGTGGTGTCCTTGACAGGTTAAAATGGGAAGGGAGGAGGGGGCTGGTGTGGGGCAGGAGATAGTGAGTTGTTCTGAAATCAGCATAAAATTTCAAAAAGCAGCACCATCTGATTAGATTTTTAAAAGTGACTGCTACCAGGGAAGATGGAAACTGAGCAGGTAAATCTCACCAAAAGCCTTTATGTGATGGGCAGGTGAGACTGGAAAAGATTTAAGTGCGGCCGATGACACCCTGCCACCATTAGACTGCCAGCGCTGAGCTCTTTTCAGCTACGACAACATCACAAACCAAAGATGAAACTTAGAACCACACAGAATCACTGTTATCACTGAACTAAGCCAACTATTTTTAAAATGACACCACATTTGATCCTGTTACTCTGAATACTATTAGCAGCATGTTGACAGCAAAAGAGTTTTTGTATCGCAAGATATTTTCAAAACGTTATTTCATCCTTTCAAGTTTTTTGATGGATGTTGTCCTCAGATGGACATTATCCTAAAGAAGTACACACAGCATCTAATTTGTAAATGACTCTACATTTGTTCAGGTGTAGGCTCAGCTTGGAGAACCCCGAGTAGAGACAACCTCTGAAGATCCAAAGTTCTTTCTTTCCCCACCAGGGCCTGCTTTTAACTCCCTCACTCCACACAACCAAACCCGACCAAGAGGCTGATGACCCACCTCTCCGCTGGGCACCAGCACAGACTAGCCATAGAGGCCACCTCTATCTGGCCCAGCGACCAAGAGGCCTCAGTCAGAAAGGTACCAGGGCCATAGCAGATGGCACATAAAGCCACCCTAGATTCCCAATGACGAACTCTCAAGGCAGGGAGGACCTGGGAGGCAAAACCAAAATTCTCTCAGATTCAACCTTCAAACCAGCTGCTATACGTTCCTAAAAGGGCGCTTGCCAAGGAAAGCCACGCTAAGGAGAAAGTGCGATCATTCCTGAACCGAAACTCTCAGGCTAATCTGTCCTCAATGTGATTCACAGCGTTATGCTTTTTTGATAGAAAATAACATAAGAATAGTTCGAGTAAGAAAAACTACAAAATATGTTTCAGCATTTGATTTGTCAAGTAACTGCTGTGTTCTACTCCATTTGTTAATGTGTTAGTTATCACTAGCTTTTATTATTGTTACAGAAAAGTGGTTGGGTCCTACTGAACCTGCTATGGACCAAACAGCTAGGTGGGGCACCATGGTGCACAAAGCGCTGGGCCTGGCCTCAGATCTTCCTCGAGTTCAAATCTGGCCTCAGATACTCACTAGCTAGGTGACCCTGGGTGAGTCACTTAACCCTCTTTGACACAATTTTCTCATCTGTAAAATGAGCTGGAGAAGGAAATGGCAAATCACTCCAATATCTTTGCCAAGAAAACCCCAAATGAGGTCACAGAAGAGTCAGATACAACTGAAAAACAAAATGGGCCAGGCACTGTATGCTAAGTTTTTCATATGATCCTTACAACAACCCTACAAGGGAGGCAGTTATAATTCCCATTTTACTGATGAGGAACCTAAGGCAGACAGAGGTGCAGTGACTTACCCAAGGGTCATACAGCCTATGTCTGAGGCCAGACTTGAGCTCTGTCAGGTCATCCAGACCCCTCTTCTACTGTGTCCTGGGCCTGCTCATTTAGAGTGAGGAGGAACATGGCTCCCAATGAGGAGCTGCTGCCACTGAGCAGGGCAGGCTACTTCTTCTCTCAGAGAACTATTATGAGAGCCCAATGAGATAATATGCGTAAAAGGCTTTAGCAACCTACATCAAAGCCAACAACAAATAAAACTAAACAAAGGGCTGGGAAGCCTACATTGTTCCTACCCCACTTTTCCACTTGCTGAGGAAAATCACTCCCTCTCTTTGCTTTATTTTCCTCAAATGTGGGAGCTACCGCTCTGCCTGGGTAACCTACAAGCCACCCTGTCTCTCTCACCCTTTACCGGCTCTACCTTCTGCCCCTTCTCACCCCTCCAACCACAACTACCCAAGGGCAGACCTCTGCTACCTCTGACTCCGGCTACTTACTATAAGAGCCTCCTGCTGGGCACCTCTGTCTCCCACACCCCACCTCCCCCATTCTTTCACTGGCACATAAGCCAAGTGGCTATCACCAAAGCACAGGGGTCTGACCATGCACATCCTGCAGAATACGCCCACCTTGGGCCTGCCATCCACAACCCAGACTTCCTCAAAGACCACCATGGTCATTACTGTTCCAAGCCCACCCCCTACATCTCCAGAAATTGTCTGCATATATGTTTCATTTACTTCTCATGAATATATCCTCCCAAGAAAACATGCAATCTTTGAAAGCACTGACTGTCTCACTTTTGCCTCTGCACCTTTAGCACTGAGCCTACAGCAGCACCTAATACGCGCTTTTGGACAGCAATGCAGTATAGCAGGGAACTAAGGAATTGGGAGTGAGGGGCTGGCTAACTTGACCCAGGCAGGTTGCCCTAGGGCAAGTTCTAACCCCTCTGCCTGGGCCTCAGCTTCCTGTGCTGTAAAACCAAGGAGAAGGCCCTGAGACCTTGGAGAATGAGGCAACAGAGCCTCCCAGCTCCACACGAGCCACACAGCCACCATTCCCCCAACTCTGCTGACACAGCAGCATCAGGGAAGGGGAAAGCATTCCACAAAGAGGCAGGACTCGACTACTCAAGCAAGAGGAAGAGTACAGATACATGCCCAATGTTCATCTGGTCTGAAAGACGTACTGATGAAACTCAAGACAAAAGATGACAACAAGGGTGGGCCCTTGGGATTGGACACGGAAGCGAGGGACCCAGCAGCACCTCGACAAAGCGCCTTGTGCCCAGGAAGGTGACCCAGCTGCACCCTGGATCTTCCCCTCCAGCCTTCAGGACCTTCCTGGGTGCCCACTGCCATCCCCAAGCTTCCCTTAAGGAGGTACTCAGGCTGGACACTGCTCACTTGGCTGGCACAGCCTTCCCTGCCCGGAACTTTGTTGTTCTGGGAGATCACAGTAGCCTTGCTACTCACACCTTGAATGCAACACTCTGCCTAGAGACCTTCAGGATTGAAAAGCAAGAGTCCCTCCGACCCCAGCTGCCACCAAACCTCCCCTTAAGGAGGGCTCCCTAGGCCACCCAATTTCCCACCCAGCTGCCTTCCTCTGGACCTCCTGGCCATGCCCTAGGGCTGGACAGCATTCTACCTTCCTTTTGTAATCTAATCCAATGGTGTCTTCCCCCGTTTGAATCTAAGCTCCATGAGGGCAAGGATCTGTATCCCCAGGGCCTAGTTCCCAAATGAAAACTCTCCGGAAGCACTAAGGAGGAAGAGATGTACGCAGCGGATAGATGATAGCTGCTTTTCCACTGATGTGGAAGAGGGAATCATGTCCTGGGAATAACACGTGGGGAAACTGCTGAGATAAATTTGGGTTCCCCATACAGGAAAACTCCCTCCCAATCAATGACAAGCACCTGAAAGTCCATCTCATGGGCCTTCCTGGAAGGCTGCAGGTTCCTCTTCCTCCTCACCTGAGATCTGCGACAAAGGCTTGACCACAATCTGGCAGCAACATGACCACTGGTTCTCATTCACCTGTAGTTCTGACAGACTCTCATTCAACGATTCTTTGATAGATATATGCAAACTGGGAAATGCAGGTTTAGGGAGAAAGGATGTTCTAGAAATGTACACTTGGAGTTCAGGAGAAAGATCAAGGTTAGAAATTCAGCTTTGTGACTTATCCATGCTCAAGTTCATCAAATTAAGAGGTCAGATGAGATGAACAAAGGAGAGAAAAAAATCAAATGTCAAAGTCAATGACAGCCAACTCCATCCCAACAGCCAAATTCAAATGATTTCAGCTCCTTGAGGACAGGGACTATTACCTATCTTGTTTTGGCCTTTCCGGTCTCCCACGTCCTACAGAGCACACAGAACGCATCTGAGAAATGCTCATCTAAGGGGCAGCTAGACGGCACAGTGCATACATCACCAGCCCTGAAGTCAGGAGGACCTGAGTTCAAATACAACCTCAGACCAAACACTTGACACTTACTAGCTGTGTGACCCTGGGAAAGTCACTTAACCTCAATTGCTTAAAAAGAAAAAAAAATGCTCATCTAATAAATTAATACTTCTTTAAGCAAGAAAACTACCACAACAATGCAGGGCCTGTTTTTAAATCTTTTCCCTCCCGGCACCTAATAGGTATCTCAGATACTTGCTGACTTAAATTCGGCAGTCCCCTGGTGACTGCTAAGACCTGAGCAGTCAATCAAGAAGAATGCCCACCCCTGAACACAAGGGGCAGCATTGAGCAGACAGCGGAAATCCGCTGCTTGCATCTCTGCTGTACACGCGGCAACCCCCTCCTTTCTTGTATCTTGTAAAGCTTGATTACTTAAGTTTGAAATGAAAGAAGAGTGCTTTAAGCTTCCCCCCGCCACAGCAGTGATACAGAGCTCTCTCCTGGAGAAGATGCTGCCAGGCGCCAAGCTGGCAGGCTTCAAGGACAGTCCTGAAGACAACTTCACTGCCAGCCCAGCCTGCTGGAGGTCAGTAGCTGTCCATCACCAGGCTGGATGAAGCTAGGAACTTTTGTAGCCGGACCAAGTCTCCAGTTGTACAAGAGCTGCAATCTGCATGGATGGAGCACCTACACACCCCTCAAGTGTGCGGGGAATCCCTAGCTATACTGGGTATCAGGAGGGCCTATTAAGAAGCTCCCTATCTAACTAACTTCGCAGTCCAATCACTTAACCCACGAGCTCCCTACACCACGGATGAAGTACACGAGACACTGGGGAGAAAGACAAACGCCAGAAGCAACCTCTGCTCAAAGTGCTTCTACTTGCTGGGGGAGGCAGCAGGTGCATGCACAGGGACAGGACCAATCCAAGGCAGTTTGGAGAGGGCACCGGCAGCCGGGGCAATCAGGAGAGGCTCCCTGCAGAAGACCATGTCAGCAGGGTGGAGGGCTAGCCCAGATTAGCTCTGGACACCCCGACCCAATTTCTGAAGCATGAGATGCATCTTGAGGCATGACAGCTATTAAGGAATTAAAGAGTTGTGATCAAGGGAAGAGGAAGAGTGAAACAAACTGGACCCAACTCTAGCAGAGCAAACAGAGTACAACACGAAAATCTTTCTAAGGAAGCTCAGCCCTGGAGTGGAAAGGGGGTGGGGCTGGGGTAAGAATAGTGCAGATATTTTCAGATGCAGGTGAGGCAAAAAAGCCAGAATGCTAGAGGTACCCACTGGAGAAGCTGACCACACGCCTTTCACACTGTCCTGTGACCAGATGTTCCCAATTTCCCCCCATCTCTTTGGTTAATGCTTTTACTTCTGATAACCCTTCTCTTTAGCAAATGTTCACAATCCTGCTCCACTGGGGTAACTGATCACTTGGGACAGGATTTCAGATGGAGGCTGTCAGCAGCCTGTCATGCTTGTCTTAAAGGAGCAAATATAAAATTAAAGGCACTTCAGCACTAAACCAGATGAATCCAACTTATCCAAACATGCCAATATGGTTATCCAGACTGCTTCATGTTCTAGCCTGACTTTCACCCACTTGATTTTCCAGATGTACTTCTTTTATACCTAAACCATATGTAAGCTAAGAGCCTTTATCTTTCAAACCAGATTATCCTAAGGGGATGTGAACATTAGTATGTAAATACAATCTTTCATTCTGTCTTAAAACCTAGACAGGGAAAAAAATGACTATGTATGTTCACATACGTGGGCTATGGGAGAATGGTTTTAAAATACTGGCTACCTACCTGACCTCTCAGAATCATGTCTCTGTTGATATAAAAGGAAAACTATTATTCAGATACAAGAATCCAGGGATTTACGAAACACACAAATGGTGCAAAACTGATTTCAGTGTCAAAGGGAAATACAGCAGGCCCTTAGTGCCTCACAAGGGAAGGGCAGCTGCATTTGAAGACTTAACAGGTGCTATGCACTACCACAACTTCTGTCCGTCCTTCTTCCCCCAATTCTGGAACTCTCCCAAAGCAAAGCTTTCTACCCCAATACCTCTGGCAAAGGTCCCTCAGAGACTCGCCAAGATCCTAAATTAACTGGTCAGTTTTCCCCTCACCTCTTCCTTGTCATTGTCATCACTATTCTACTTTCAATCAAACGCATTTTCTGATTAGACCAAAGTGCCCCAAGCACTGTGTGACTCTGTTCAGAAGAGGCCACAGCTGGGGGACGGGACAGGAGGCCAAGGGGCTGGCTCTTCTGCTGCCACAGAACTCACTTATTTTCTGTATCAGCCACTGGGTGCTCTTCTCCTTCAGGGGTCTCCTCGGTCACAGTGGTCTGCTCCAAGTCACTGCAATTATAAGACATTGGTTTCTGAATGTAATGGGGGCCCCCTCTAAGGAGAGAAAGAGAGACAAGAAAGGCATCTGGTTCGTTTATACATTGCCCAGTCGTACAGCCTCTTTACCCAAATAAAAATATCAAATAACCCCCACTCCCCAGTACATTCATGAACCGCACAAATGCCCAGAAAATGAATCAAGGCACTAGTCCCTGGCAGTGAGCGAGATTCAGATATAATAGGTCAACTGCTACATAACCAGAACACGCTTAAATAGCTTAAAGCCATCAGAACTAACGTAAGTGAATATAAGAATATGCCACAGAAAATGCTATTCAAATAACATGACTGACTTTTCCAAGAGAATAGCACTTTCACAAATACTGGGAAAGGAATGAAAACTTGGATAACTGAAATTCTAATTTAAGATAAATTCTAAGAGCACTGGCCCTGGAGTCAGGAAGACCCAAGTTCAAATCTGGCCTCAGACACATAACATTCATTACCTGTGTGACCCTAGGCAAGTCACTTAACCCCAACTGCTTCACCTCCTCCCCCAAAAAAGATAAATTCTAACTTACTAATGATAGAATTTTTCAGCTGATGGAAACTTTGATCCCTTAACATAACACACCCATTTTAGGATCATACTTGGTGCAGTCAGGAAGATGTGAGTTCAAATCTGGCCTCAGATACTTATTAGCTGGTTAACACTAGGCAAGTCTTTTCATTTCTGTCTGTCTCAGTTTCCTCAAGTATAAAATGACCTCCCAGGGTTTTTGTGAGGATCAATAAGAGGTCCTAGACAAATGAAGGCTATTCCTCTTACTTCAATCATTAGTCTTAGAGGTAGAAGGTACCCCTGAGGCCATCTGGTACAATTCTTTATTTTACAGATGAAGAAACTGAGGCCCAGAGATTTTAAGTGATTGGCCCAAGATCACACAGGATGTCAGTGATGAGGCAGGATTGGAATACAGACCCTCTGATTTTGAAGTTATTGCTCTGTTCCAGCCAGTCCAGAACGAGCATTCCCTCCCTTGAAAAAGTGATGCCCATAAAGCCGGGACAAGGCACAGAAATTGTACTTGGAAGAAAGCAGGCAACTCACGTTAACTCGTCTTTGACCGTTCCCCAATTATGCGAACCGCTTCCACCACGCTTGTCCTCGTGCTTCAGACCACTGAAATGTGAATGTGAGAAAGAACTAACAAAACTGAGTTAACATTATAGTGACTGAGGACAGAAACTAGCTAAGTGTTACTAAAATGAACATTAAATTAAAATCAGCACAAAAAATAAATTTGAGACTTACGATCTATCGCTTCCACTGTGCCTATCAAATTCCCTCTTTCCACGAGAGTCAAAACCATCTCCTCTGCCCATTCCACGGCCACGCCCACCTCGGCCTCTTCCTCCAGGACCGCCACGACCTCGGATCGGCCGGTCAGTGATAGGCCTAGGACGTAAGGAAAAACTGTCATCTTTTAAGAATATTTATGGAAACCTGAGACTTACACATGTGGACAATTCATAGAACACAAACGACAGCATATTGACAATACTGCTATGAAAAGGGTAATCAAATGGGGGAAATTATCTTGACACACCTAACATTTTGCTATATAGGGCTCGAGATCCTTTCACACAGGCCTATCTGAAGGTGTTTCATTAGGAAATAGACAACATCCTTAAACTGTTCTAATACTAAAACAAATCAATGTCTGATCTGTGAGAGTGAGGTTTGCCATGCTTAAATTATTTGAAAAACACCAAAGCTGGGTGCTATATTTGCTTTAACTTCATAATCTGGCAGTATGAAATGGTAAAAAATCCATAAAGACTCAAGTGTTGCACAGAGTAGTTCCTTACAAGGAATTTAGGGATTCATATGTGACAAATCAGCTTCCCCTAAATCTAACAGTGGGTTTTATCAAACAAACCCAAGGCTAACCACAATAATAAAAAGTTCTTACTAGAAAATCTTCAAATGAGGATGGGGGAACCAACGAATTTAGGGACTCTTAAGACTCCTTTGAGGCCAACTGCACAGTAAGGATGGTAAACTTTAAACTTTGTCTTTAGTAAAGTATGACCCTTGTAAAGATTTCAACAAAGAGGAAAGATCGAAAGCTTACTTATCAACTGAAAATTCTCCTCCTTCACCCTTTTCTTCAATTGATTTTTCAAATCGTCGCTCACGAGGTGGTCGCCTTTCTGGTCTCCTGTCAATTGGTTTTCCTTCACCCTGAAGTTGCTGGTCAGGCCTTCTACCAACTCGTCTTATCCCTAAAATGATAGATAATACACACAGGCATGTTATTTTTGCCACACAAAAAAAGAAAACTATCAGGAAGCTAAAAGAAAACCGAGTTCCCTAAAGGAAACATACAGCCTGTTAGGAAAGGTGGTGGTCAGGGACCCTGAGACCCAGCACAAGGTATTTATGAGGTTCCCCTTTAGAGGGATGGTCTAAGTCTGATTTTCAGCAAACAGCCCTCATTCTGAATAACTATTTGCTCTAGCCATTTCAGGAATCATTATTAATTTAACTCTTCTAGACCTGTACCGATCTTCAATTTATGTTTTTTAAGAATCAAGAAATGACGTTCTACAAATGAACAGTTTAACTTGATAAAGTCACCTCAGATAGACCACGTGTGTAAGCATTTGCAAATTACACTTAAAAGACAAAAAGCACATGCGCACGCGCGCACACACACACACACACGCGCGCGCACGCACACACACACACACACACACACACACACACACACACACGGCCCTATTTAGCTCACTGACTGACCCTAAGAAAAAGCTTAAAAAGCCACTGCTTTGCATTCACAACATTTCCTGAAAAGAACGAACAGACTTCCGTATTTCCTCATTGTGCCAAATTAAAAACGTGAACACATACAGCAAAGTATGGGATTGGCAAAGCAAGGAGCACCAAAAACCCACCTCCTTCCCAGACACTGCGGCCTACGCGATGACCTGACAGACATCATATAAACAGGAGGCCAAATAGGAGAGTTTTCTTGAGGCTAAACTCCAAAGAGTTACTTTCTTTTCTTTGCCCTCCTAAGAATTTCTGCTGCTTAATCCTCTTCTAAAAACAAACAAATTTGACCTGTTGATTTATTAATATTAGAGTTAAGTTCCTTGAAGCCTGGAACGATCTCCTTTTTTTTTTTTTTAATCCTTGGTGCCTGGCACATAGTAGGCACTTAAATATTGACCGATATTTTCATTCTTTTAAAATCTTTAAAGACAAAAACAGGAATCCTTCTGGGCATTACATCAACAGAAAACCTAAGCTGAATGGTAAGTTAAGTCAATGGTGGTACTCTACCATTCTTTGTGGCCATGCCTCAAGCCTCCCAATGACAGCGGCGCGCAGCCCTTTAAGTAGGCAAGGCTATTTAAGCAGCTTGCTAACCCCAGTAGATACACAGGGTTAAAGACTTTAAGCAGCTCAACTCAAACGGCTACACCTTCTATTTTTTTTTGGAGAGGCTGGGGGGTGGGGGGGGTTCCACCCTGAATCAATTCACTGCAGTTACTTATTTAAGAAATTGCACAATTACTAAGGCACAGGGGAGATATTATACTAATTTACAGTATGGCACTCAAAGAAGCTATGGTAGCTCACACAACCCAATTCTAAGAATTCCAAGTTAACTATGCACGTGCTAAAGTGTATTAGACCTTATACCATGGCAAAGGAACACATTACTTGGGAGTAAAATAGTATTTGGGTGGGGCTGCAGGAAGGGGTAGGCATGATGATATATCCAAGCCAAACACACCCAAACGAACAATAGCTCCGGCACCCAACAAATATTCAACAGCAATTTACTGGGCCCCCAAAAGTCTTACTAAATTAACGGGCTCTACAGAGGGCCCAAACCCAAGGTTCTCTTTTTAAAACTTCCACAAGGACAATAGCATTTTTCATTTTCAAGTTTTCCAACACAACCCGTACGACCTGCATCTCCAACACACCAAATGGTAACATGTTCAACTAAAAGATTAAACAATGCTAATCAATTCAATTAACTATCAACGTCTTGCTGGGCATCCCACGGGATTCACAAGCACTGGACTGGGAACACAGACCAAACTTCAACGAATGCCTGGTGACGGACTGCCTTTCCTAGCAGGCGTTCTGCTAAGTTCCAGCATTTGCGGTATAACATTTAAAAAGCTCTTCCTACGACTAGAGGTCGGTAACTGTTGAAAATCTGAGCAAGACTGTGACGGCTGGCATGCAACATTGTCCAGAAGCAGAAAGTGCCTTCGTGAGCCCTTAGAGCGACTCTCTACGTTTCTCACAAACCATCCATCTCCAGACGACAATTTGGTTGCAGTCCGCTCTCCCCAATCAGGAGAACCAAGGCATTAACACGGCTTCACCTGCCTCCCACTTCTCCCGGGCGCTGCTCAGGGAAGGAACACTAAATGCGTTTTAAAGCGCGGGGGCGCACGGTCCGGAGCTGCAGCGCGCCCCCCCCCCGGCACACACACTCACACCGGCCCCCCGCCGCCCGGGTCTCCCACACAAAAGCACGGCCTGTCAGCACATTCGGCCGTGCGGGCTCAGGGGCCGTTCCCCGCCTCCGGGGTCCTCCCCGCGCCTCGGCCCGGCCACGCGGCCTCGTCCTTAGTTTCCTCCCGGTGCCCCCCCCCGAGCCACGTGCGCCCCCGCGGCGCCCTCCGCCTCGACCTCCCCCCCCGCCGCCTGGGCGGCCCTTTCCCGCCCCGCCTCAGTTTCCCGGGGCCCGCGAGCCCCTCCCCCTCCCCAGTGGAGCACGTGGTTGCCCCCGCGGAGCCTCAGTTTCCCGCAGGCGCGCAGCACGTGGGCGCTCCCCCCACCGGGCCTCAGTTTCCCCCTCGCGAGCACCTTCTTTCTTGAGCGCGGCGGGCGGCGGCGGGGCCTCGTCCTTCTTGTCCGCGGCGTTGGCGGCCGCGCTGGCCGAGCCGGCGGCGGCGGCGGCGGCGGCGGCGCTGGGGGGCGCGGGAGGCGGCGGCAGCGGGTTCTTGCGGTCCTTCTGCGACTCCTTGCGCAGCGGCTTCCCGGGCGCGCCCCCGCCGCCCCCGCCGCCCGCGCCGGCCTGGGCCGCGGCCTGCGCCGCGCTCTTGGGCCCGGGCCCGCCGCCGCCCCCGCCGCCGCCGCCGCCGCCGCCGCCTTCCTTCTTCTTGTTCTCGGCCGCCTTCAGCACCTCGAAGGGGTCCGATTCGTCGTCAAATAGCTGGTCGAACCGGTTGGTGACGACGCAGCCGAAGCCTTCCTGCAGGTGGCCGGGCATGATGGGGCCCCGGCGGCGCGTTCCTCCACGGATTGCAGCGGGCCGCGCCGAGCCGACGGCGACTGCTTCAGCTCGTCCCCACAAGATGGCCGGGCCGAGAAAGAGACCGCCTTCTCTTCCGGCGCCGCACACACATCCGGGAGCCGCCGGCGCCGCGGGGCACGCCGGGAAGCGCAGGCGGCCGGCGCCGCTCCTCCCGTGCCGGCGGCGGCGCGGACTACAACTCCCAGGGGGCAACGCGCGCCGGCGGGCGCGAAGCGGCGCGGGGAGGCGGGGGTGGGGGGTGGGGCGGGGAGGCCGGGAGCCGAGGACACCTGCCGTCTCCAGCCCGCGCCCCCTCCCCCCCAGCCCTGGAAAGCCGAGCCCTGCCCGGCGAGGGTGGCCGGTCGCACGTGTCGAGCTCGGTCAAGGTCACTCCTTCCTGGCGACCACGTGGGGCCCGCCTCCCTTCTCTTTCCAGGCTGGGAAACTGAGGTCGCGCGAGCCGCCCAAAGTTAGCCAAGCATCCGAGGTGGGCAGAAGGCTGCTTGCATTTATTAAATGCCCCCTGCATGCGGGGCGCGCCACCGAGAAAGCAGACAGCAGAGCCTGCCCTCGGGGAGCTTACAGTCTAGCATCTAGATAGGCGCTGGAGCAGCGGGTCCTCTAGACCGTGTTGCTAGAAATGCATTGGGAGGGTCCGCCTGGGGCTGGGGGCTGGCGAGCCGGGGTCCAGAGGGCGGGAGATGGCGAGCTTGTTCCGAGAACGTTCTACGCGTGCAAGTCTCTGGTCCCCAGGCCCCCCAGACGGGGCGGAGAGCGTCACGGGTCAACGGGGCCCTGGCACAGGCAGCGCCCCCCGGCAGCGGTCAGCTGCGCGGCTTCCGCACGAAGCCCCCAGGTGCATTGTGTGCACGCCCGCAACCCGACCGAGCCCTGCGCTAGGCGATCGTCAGGACCGCGGCCACGGAGCTCCTTCACGCTGGGTTTGGTGCAGAAGGAACGGTCCTGGAGAGTCCTCGGCCCTTCACCCTTCTCCCAGGGAACGCCCCATCTTCATTCGTTCACCTGCCTTAGCATGAGAGGCTTTCACTCAGGATTGTCCTTTTCAAGCCTCTGTGAGATTTCAGTACCGTGGCACTCCGGGATAACAGTACGTTTTGTCCTAGTCCGTCCACAGACGTTTATTAAAAACTTACAGAGAAAGGCGCTTTGATGAGGCTTGAGGAAACAAACAAAAAAAGGCAAAACCTCGTTGCCTGCCCTCAAGGAACTCACGCTCTAGTTTAATAGGGAAGACAATATGCAAATATATGTGTGCGTATGCACATGTGGAAAGTTACACAGTATCTTTGTATGTAGGGCACAGTGTAAACGAATGGCAATTTCAGAGAGAAGGCGCTTGAGGGCAGGGTGCCGTGTCCTCCCCCTCTCCTTTCCATCTCCCTTTCCTGTGTGGTCTTCCCCCTTTTGATTATAAGCTCCTCGAGAACAGGAACTGCGCTAAACTGTGTAGCCTCTGGGCTTAGCACGGCGCCATTACTATAGGAAGAGCGGCCAGGCAACTCTCTGGGACCACAAGATCGGGGCGGATCCAGCTCCCTCCTCCAGCTCTCCCCAAAATGGCCGCACGTCTGCCCTGTTCTCTTTTCTCCCATCCAACCGTCACTTCCCTTGTAGGGTTTTGTCCTGACCCCTCTAGATCCTACACCAATGTAAAGGAGACAGAGATTTGGTGGGGGGTACTTTCCCCACCCGGGAAACAGCTCACAGAAAGGGGGTCTGGGAATTTCCACTCTTCCTCCCAAATCCTAGAATCAATCCACCCCAAGGAGCACACCAGGTGTGGAGGAAATCGGGTGGGGGGCTACATGCTGGGGAGACAGACAAAACAAAAGCAAATGAACAAATGAACGCCCTGGGGAGTTTACAGTCTATTGGGGGGTCAGCAAAGGTCTGTTAAACCCCAGCAGTGCAGGAAGAGGCTGGTTCAGCTTTAGAAAAGACGGGGTCTCTGCCTACACAATGAGACTCACGAACAAGCAGCTGAACTACTGTGAGAAACACATCCAGATTTTCCTGAGGAGGAAGCTCTGTCTACCAATGCAGATAATAGTGATGGCTAACATCTCTAGATCCCTGCAATGTTTGCAGCCTATCTTATCTCATTTCACCCTCACACGAACCCCCGAAGGAAGGCTGTTAACAGTATTAGCAGTTATTAACCCCACCGTCCTAGAGCTAGGAAGCTTCTGAGGCAGAACTTGAACACGGATCTTCTGGATTCAAGTCCAGTACTCTATTCCCTGCTCAAGTGGCCAGAATCAGAGGGTGGGCTTGAACCAGGGTCTGGGGTAATTGGAGGCTTGCTATCCACTAGGCTGCACTGCCTTCCAGGGTCTCAGAGAAGTGTTGGGGTGAAGTCTCTTAATGACCGGGAGGATCAGGGAAGCCTTCTTGGAGGAGGCAGGACTAGAATTGGGCTTTAACAAGCAAAGGCCGATTTAGGGCGTGCCAGGCACAGAGAACAAGCTGGACTTGAAGAAGGACAAGGCTTATAACAAGAAGCAGAGAATGGAGGACCTAAAGATTTAACTAGAGTTGATGGGGGGGGGGTACACTAGATTATGGGTGTGTATTTTTTCCACTTTCTATTTGGGCTGTATTTGGTTACATATTTACTTGTCTCCCCATCAGGAAAAAAGCACCTTGTGAGCAGAAATTGTTTCATCCTTTGTGCTCCGATGCCCAGGGCAGCCTGGTTTGGCAGGAGGAGTTTAATGAATGCTTGTGGATTGATTGATGCTAAGGAAAGGAGTCTGAACTCTGCTCTGTGGGCAGGAGGGAGCTGGTAATGATTTTGTCCCAGAGGAGAGAGATGGCCAGAACCAGAGGTAGGGAAAGAAGTGAATCTGGCAGAAAACCATATAGAACATCTTAGAGGGGGAGAGACAGAGACAGAGACAGAGACAGAGAGAAACAGAGAGAGAGACAGAGAGAGAAACAGAGAAAGAGAAAGAGAGAGAAACAGAGACACAGAGAGAAACAGAAAGAGACAGAGGGAAACAGAGACAGAGAGAGAGGGACAGAAAGACAGAGACAGAGAGAAACAGAGAGACAGAGAAACAGAGAGAGAGGGACAGAAAGAGAGAGAGAAACAGAGAGAGACAGAGAGAGGGACAGAAAGACAGAGAGAGACATAGAGAAACAGACAGAGAGAGAGAGAAATAGAGAGACAGAGAGAGAAACAGAGACAGAGACAGAGAAAGAAACAGAGAGAGAGACAGAGAGAGAGAGAATGAGAATAATACATGTCAGGGGCTTCCCATTACCCCAGGGCCCAATAGAAAACCTTGCTGGGTTTTCAGAGCCCTTCTTAACCAGAGCTCTTCTTCCATCTCCAGTCTTCTCAGGCCTGCTTCCCCACCAGGTCTTCTTCTGTCCAGTGACACTGGCCTGCTGGCTTTTCCTGGAAAAAGACTCCATGTCCTGTGACTGTCCCAGCTCCTGGCGTTTTCTCCGGCTGCCCTCTGTGCCTGGAAAGCTTGTGCTTCTTCCTCCCTGAGATGGGCCACTGGCTTCCCTGGTTTCCTGCCTATCCCAGCCAAAAGCCTACCTTGGACCAGAGAAGCCTCCCTCCCAGCGGAGATCACCTTCAATTCACCCTGTATGTGTCTCGTCTACCTGGAGTTGTTTTCTTGTCTCTCCCACGAGACCGTGACCTTCTTGAGGGCAGGGACTGTTTGGGGTTTTCTTTGTCCCCCTCGTGCTTCGCAGGGCGTCTGGCACACAGTAGGTGCTTAGCCCATGCTTCTTGACTGGCTGACTGACTGAAGGCTGAAAAATGATCTCCAAGGTAGTCCCAGGATCCCCTAGGGCCGTTTTTGGTTTATCTGATTGATATTTCAGGGAAGTGCTTTTCTTGGGGAAAAGGAATTGATTGTTTTGCTGGTGAGTTCCCTAGATCACTTTTAGATTTATTTCCCTTAATTTTCAGTGTGAAGTTCCACACGCACACACATACATACACACACAGAGCTAGGAATTGGAGCTAGATAACTCTTGTGGATCAATACAATTCAAAATCAGCAAGACCCGAGTTCAAATTTTGGCCTCAGACCCTCCTGAGCTGTATGACCAAACGCAAGTCCTTTTACCTGCTCGATGATGAAACAATAGGGAAATGGGGCATTGGCCTAGCTTGTCACATGGGAGGAAGGGGTAGGAGTAATTACAATAGCTAACACCTGTAGAACCTTGGGGATTTGAGGGAGGTTTTTGCTTTGAAGCACTTGACATTTTTTTCTCGTTTTGTCATCATATATCGATAATAAAAATAAATTCTTTTTGATTCTTGATTGGTGTCAGCCCCATGCTGATCGATAGCTCTCTCGATTTCTCCCCTGAACTCCAGTGACCCATCACCGTCGGCACACTGGCACATCTCTGCCAGCTGGATGTCCCATTAGCTTCTCAAACCTCACGCCATCACCCTTCCCCTCAAAAGCTCCCCTGTCCTCGACACCACCCTGTTTGTAGTAGAGGTGCAGTTTTCACGGCCAGCCACGTTCATAATCTCCAAGCCAGCCCCGGCTCTTCCTCCGGAGCCGAGTTCAGACGTGGCTACCTGCTTATCATAGCTCCCATCCGTCCCTTGGCACTAAGCTCGATGCCCCCACCCTGGGTCAGGCCCTTATCACCTCTGCTCTGAACAGCTCCCAAAGCCTCCTAGCTGACCTCCCCGCTTCCCGTCTCTTACTTCTCCCATCCAGCCTCCATGGAGTTGCCAAAATTATCTTGCTGAGACATTCAAGGGCTCTGGCTTACGTCTAGAGTGAAATACTGAGTCCTCCGTGCCAACTGGCTTTATTTCATAGAATCCTACTGCACGGGCTCAATATTCCTCTCAAACTGGCCTAGCTGCCCTGTGAATTCAGGACCTGGCCCTGCCTTGATTCCTTCAGTTTTCCCCTTCACTTCGTTCAGGACTGGGATGTCCTGCTTTCCCATCTTCAACTCTCAGAATCCTCACCTTCCTTTAAGGTACAGTTCATGTCTCCTCCTCCTCTTCCTCCACAAAGGTAGGCAATATGGTGCCTGGGAAAGAGTGCTGGAGATCTGGTGTCAAAGGTCCTAATTCTGC